TATTTGAAAATCTCTCTTTAGTATTTTTAAGTCTACAGTGCAATGGTATGAATGAAGTACCTTCATAACATTGTCAACCATCACCACCAACCATCTCCAGAACTCTTTTTATCTTGTAAAACTGAAACTCTGTCGGCATTAAACAATAACTTCCCATGCCCCCTCCCCAGCCCCTAGCAATCACTGTTCCACTTTCTGTCTTTACGATTTTTGACTACTTTAAGTAACTCCTAGAATTGGAATCATGCATTGTCTTTTTGTGCGCAGTTGGTTTCACTTAGTGTAATGCCCTTAAGGTTCATTCACATTGTAGCATGTGTCGCAATTTCCTTTCTTTTTAAAGCTAAATAATATTCTATTCTGTGTACAGACGACATTTTGCTTATCCATTTGTTCATCAAATGGATAAGTTTTAGATAGGCTTCCGAGTTTTAGCTATTATGAATGATGCTGCAATGAACATAGGTACATAAATATCCCTTTGAGACCCTGCTTTCAATTCTTTGGGGTATATACCCAGAAGTGGAATTGCTGGATTATATGATAATCCCGTTTTTAATTTTTTGTGGAAGCACCAAACTGTTTTCCACAGGAGCAGTACCCTATTTTCCATTCTTACCAACAGTTCACAGGGGGTTCAATTTCTCTACATCTTTGCCAACACTTGTCACTTTGTTTCATCTTCCTTTCTTCCTTTTTTCCTTCTTCCCTCCCTTCTTCCTCCCTCCTTCCTTCTTCCTTCTATCATTCCTTCCTTCTTTCCTTCCTTCCTTCCTTCTATCATTCCTTCCTTCTTTCTTTCCTTCCTTCCTTTCTTCTATCATTCCTTCCTTCTTTCTTTCCTTCCTTCCTTCCTTCTGCCATCCTAATGGGTATGAGGTGGTATCTCATTGTAGTTTTGATGTGTATTTCCCTAATGAATAGTGATGTTGATCATGTTTTCACATGTTTTTTGGCCATTTGTAGATCTTTTCTGGAGAAATGTCTATTCAAGTTCTTTACTTATTTTTGCATGGGGTTGTTTTGTTGTTATTGTTGTCTCTATATCTTTTTGATTGAGCTTTGACAGTGCATTTTTTTTTCAAAGAATTTGTTAATTTCATCTAAGTTGTGAAAGTTATGGATATTTATGTTTGTAGTATTCTTTGCTATTTTTCTTTAATGTCTTAGGGTCTGTAGTGATGTCCTCTAATTTCTGTTATTTAAAATTTACAATTCTCCTTTTTTCTTGGTCAGCATGGCTAGAAGTTTTTCAGTTTTATTGATTTTTTTCCCCCCAAAAAAACTAATTTTGGTTTCACTGATTTTCTCTATTATTTGTTCTCAATTTCATTGATTTCTGGTCAATCTTGATTATTTCTCTCTTTCTGCTTACCTTGGTTCTAATTTGCTCTTCTTTTCTAGTTTTGTTTTTGTTTTTGTTTCAAGTAAACTTGTGCCTAACATGGGGCTCAAACTCACAACCCTGAGGTGAAGAGTCACATGCTCTACTGACTGAGCCAGCGGGACACCCTTCTCCAGTTTTTAAAGGTAGAAGCTTAAATTACTGAGTTGAATCTTTCTTATCTTCTGACTTAAGCATTTAATACCGTTTCCCTCTAGACACTGCTTAATTGCATCCCACAAATTTTGATCTGTTTTCATCTGCATTCACTTTAAAATATTTTCTAATTTCTCTTAAGACTTCGTCTCTGACCCATGAGTTATTTACAAGTGACTTGCTGGGTTTTCAAATATTTAGAGGCTTGGGGTGCCTGGGTGGCTCAATTGGTTAAGCGACTGCCTTCAGCTCAGGTCATGATCCCAGAGTCCTGGGATCGAGTCCCACATCAGGCTCCCTGCTCCATGGGGAGTCTGCTCCCTCTGACCTTCTCCCCTCATGCTCTCTCTCACTGTCTCTCTCTCAAATAAATAAATAAAATCTTTAAAAAAAATATTTAGAGGCTTGTTGTTTTTTTCCCCAGGTATCTTTCTGTTATTGATTTCTTTTTTTTTTTTTTTGCAACTCTTTTTTTTTTTTAAAGATTTTGTTTATTTATTTGACAGAGATCACAAGTAGGCAGAGAGGCAGACAGAGAGAGAGGAAGGGAAGCAGGCTCCCCGCTGAGCAGGGAGCCCAATTCGGGCTCGATCCCAGAACCCTGGGACCATGACCTGAGCCGAAGGCAGAGGCTTAACCCACTGAGCCACCCAGGCGCCCCACTGTTATTGATTTCTAATTTAATTCTGTTATGGGCATTGATCATACTTCCTATGATTTCAGTTCTTTTACATTTGTTAAGGTTTTTTAAAAAATGGGGTTGAATGGGTGAGCAGCATTTAAAACTGCTGAGATTTTGAGAGACTGTGTATGTATTGGGGTGTTGGAGTGGGGCAGAAGGACAGCTCTTAGAGGAAATGCGGGGGAGGGGGCGGAGAGAGTGGGTCCCGCATCTGTTGAGGTAGGGGCAGGAAATGCAAGGGGAGGAAGGCCTCAGGACAGGCAGGAAGTCAATTGGATTGATTTCTGTGGCCTTCACACTTTCCTAATGCCTTCCTGGCTCAAGATGGCCAGTGGGGTTCTGGCAAACCCCGAGGACAGGCCAACTGCTGTGGGGACACGAAGTTGCTGTGCATAGGAGTGGACAGCCGGGACTGCTCTCCTTGGGGCCGAGGTGGCTCTCTGGCCCTTGGGCAGCTGCCCTGGGCAGCCCAGGAGGGGTCAGCTGGGGATAGGCAGCAAGTAAATATAGATGCAGGGAAGGAAGCCAGACGGCCCAGCATGGCACTGACATCTTGCTGGAAGGCTCAGAAAGGTGGGGAGGGGTTCTGTTTTAGCAGCCTCCCCTTTAGGGGAGAGTGACTCCTGGCTCAGCAGCCCCCTAGAATGGCTGGAAGCAGCTGGTCCTCCATGGGGACGTGAGTGAGGGCTAGTGGAAAGGCTGGTCGAGAGACGCCGTTCCTCTGTAACTGAGGGCAAACCACATTCCCACCCTGGGAGTCCCCCTCAGAGGTGTTGCCCAGCGTGATGAGGTGATGAGCATAGGCCAAGGCTCTGCCTGGCCCAAAAGGACGTGGGGCCCACAGGACAGGGGTCTTGCTTGTCCTGAGGTAGGATGTCCACAGTGTCAATGTGCCTTCCCTCAGCTCTCCCACCCTCTCACTGGCAGCTGGCCCTCTCCACCGCAGGACTCCCGGCCACCAGTTCTGTCCCAGCCCCAGCACCGTTGCCAACCCCTCTGGCCTGGCTCTCCCTGCCCCCACCCAAGGTTACAACCCTGGCACCAGCTTCCCACCAAGCAGAGATCCAACCAAGAGAAGACCCCTTGAACCCCAAAGCTGAGAGGGAAAGGCCCGCAAGGCAGTCACTCCACCACAGACGCATTTATTGGCAAAACCTATAACCAAGCATCAAGGGGAAGGGTGCTAGCCGAGTGGGTGACTTTTTTTCCCCGCTTTCCTTAGGGGTGTTCAAGGAGCAGGAAGGAGGGGGTGGGGCCATCCCAGTGAGCATCACCACACCAGCAGCTAAAGTCTATGCGCTTCCTCTGAGGCCTGAGATCAGGCTATGCTAAGCATATGCACTTTACTGTCTCATTTAATCCTTATGACAATCCTACAAGGTAGGTACCATTATCATCCCCATTTTCCTGATGAGGAATCCGAGGCATAGCACAGGGAAGTGGTGAGAGGCGGCTGTCAGCCTTCAGGGCTGCCCCCACCCCCGCCAAGAGCCTCCCAGCAGCTGCCCCCTGCTCCTGACTCTCCATTTCAACCATTTCTCACCACTTCCAGCTCTTTTTATATTTTTGTTTTGTAAAAAAAATAGATTATGCCCATATTCTGCAGAGCCCACTGGCCCTTCCCCTTGTTGATCAAATCTGGGTTCTCCCCCCAAGATTCAGCTGGAGTAAGATCGTGGACACTGCGTCTCAAACTAGAGGCCTGGGTGTTTGGGGGAAGCCAGAGTACAATGAGAGTTCTTAGAAAATACAATCAATAAATTACAAACCTCCCTCCCTTCCCCCCATTTCCTCCCACCCCTATCCAAATCTAGAACAGATTTGTGCATTGCCCCCCCCACTCCCTCCCACCCCACTGCAGGGTCTCGTCTCAGTTGCCTCTGTGTCTGCGGGGGTCCAGGGCCCTCCATAAATGTTTGTGGAATGAATGGATGTGTGAATGAGTGTGAGAATGGGAGGAGGGAGTGAGCCTTTGGAGTCCTGAGTCCCAGACTTGACTGTATCCTTACCGCCATCTTGCCCTCACCAGGACACCTCCCTCTGCCCCAGAGAAGAGGGCCCCCAGGATGGGGCTGGGAACAGAGTAGGAGAGGTGGAGAGTTAGCTGGGGCATCTCTAAGCATGGGAAGGTAGGTGACTGAGGTAGAACACAGGGCTCTGGCCTCAGAGTCAGGAGACCTTGTTTAAATCCCAGCTATAGGACTCAGGAGCTGTGTGACCTTGGGCCAGCCTAGAGAAGAATGATAACTACCATATGCTAGTCCTTTCAGAGCTGACAAGAACCCTTTTCCACATTTGTCTTTGGTCCTCAGTAACCATCCTGTAATGTGGGTATTATTCTAAATATACCCATTTTACAGAAGAAGAAGTAGAGGCCGGAGAAGTCAAGGGACTTGCCCAAGGTCGCACAGCATGCAGGAACCTGAACCCCACCCCCTCTACCTCCCTTGCTACTGCCCCTGCCTGTGCTATGAAGAGGCTGGCTCAGATCTAAGCCCTCCAGCTTAGGAGCCCCACATGACAGCGTGGCAGCAGGAGAGACCTCACAGCAAAATCCCTAGTGTGGACCCTACTGACCATCTCTAGACATAGAAGATGGTTTACCCCTCATGGAAGGGTTTCTAGACACCCCTCCCATCCCCCACCCACAATCCTGGGGCTCCAGTAGCTACCCCAGGAGGGATACGAGGGTCCATGAGATACCCATGAACTTCTGCTTTTCCTGGGAGTGTGGGGAAGTGGGAGGGTGGAGGGAGCTCGGAAGCCCATGTCTTCCCTTCACACGGGCATGGTCACCTCGTTGTACTCATCCCGACCTTCCTCTTCATCAAAGGTCGGCTTGCCATCATCAGCATCCAGCTGGAGGGGAGAGTAGGAAGGACCGAGGGTGAGCTTCCAGGAGCGGCTAGGGCAGAGGAGCCCTCCCCCCAGCACCGAGGACACTTCTAGAGCACGGAGAGGGACTGGCTCTCCCTGGACCGTGGACAAGTCATGTCCTGCCCTCTCAGCCCCTAGCTTTGGTCTGGATGAGTTTTTCCCAAGGGGTGAGGGACCCCTGGGGATGGGGTGCCCCAGCAGGGGAGGGCCTACAGAGGGCATCAGGGCAGCCCCATGGTGACTATCACGTTGTGGGAGAATTCTATGGGAGGAGCCCAGGACAAGGGCTCCAGGGTAGGACAGCTCACGTGGAGCACACCCACTCCCTGCCCCCCCAGTTCTGGGGTCCTGGCCTTCAGCCTCTGCCCTCTATTCACCCTCCCCCACCATCCCAGGTCCGCAGGGTAGGGGTGGGGAGCAGCCACGCACACACTGGAGCTCCAGCTTCCTGAAGATGAGGGGCAGCAGGAGGCGGCGCAGAGGCACCGTGAGGATGAGGACGAAGGGCAAGGCCAGCGAGGTGGCGGGGAAGGTTTTCACCGTCCACAGCCCTGCCAGGCAGATGATCTGGATGACCGTGAACAGGTGCATGCGCCAGGTCTTCACCTGCAGGGGGAGGCGGTGGTTACTGCCTGCCCCGCCCTGGCGCCCAGCAACCCCCACCCCACTCTGGGCTGGGGAGCCACGAGGGCCCTGTACCCGCTTGACGTAGGGCACATCCGGGTGGTACTTGGATGGCTTCAACAGGAGCAAGACGCGGTCGAAGAGCTGGATGCCGCTGAGGGACGTGACCCCCATGTAGAGGAAGATGCCAAACAGCACAGCCAGGGGGATGCGGGACAGGATGGGCCCCATGAGGATGGACACACCTGCCGGGAGAACCATGCACTCCTAGCCCCGGGGGCCCCCAGAGGGCTGACAGCATTGGGGGCTGGAGAATGAAGCCATAGGGACCATATGAAGCCCTTTCTGTGGATTCTCTGAATAGGTAGTACCCAATTTTACAGATGAGGAAACAGAGAGGGGAAGCAATTTGCCTAAGGCCACACAGCTACAAGTGGCAGATCAGGGAGTCAGACTCCTGCCTGTAGGACATCAAAGCCTATTCCTTTGGCCTCAGGGGTTCACAGAGGCCAGAGAAGCCCAACTTTTCTATCACCCCAGCACAGAATGCCTCCATCCCCCGCCACCTACCCACACCCTAACCCTCCCCCAGCTAATACTAACTTCGCCTCCTTTAAGAAACCACCCTTCGACTCCATCAGTAACCGTGGCGCTGCCCACACTGACCCCAGGTGTACTCTCACCTGCTCCAGAACTTAGATAAACCCCAGTGATGTTCTGTCTTCTCTCTCCCACCCCAGATGATGCTCGGAGCCCTGACTTGCCATCAGTCATAGAGCAGCCAAGCTAGAGAGAGGGCTGCAGAAGGCTCTGGATCCTAAGAGGCTGAGGCTGGGGGCTGGAAGCAAGGCCAAAGGGTGGCAGAGACTGTGGCCAGCCCTTACTCACCCACGAGCACAGCGACCAGGAGCCCACTGATCCGCTGCTCCTTGACCTCCTGAATCTGGGCTGCAGCCCCTGGGGCGCTGGCCTTGCCCATGACCGTGAGTGCGTTGGCGTGGGTAACAGAACGAACAGTGGTGGCACTGAGCCAGGGCATCCCAAAGAGGGCAGCCACACCGCCCATGCCTATGACCAGCAGCAGGTCCAGGTGGAAGCCAGAGCCCTTGACCATCTTGCGCTCTGGTTTGCTGATAATCAGCCTGGGGAGTGTGGGAGGTCAGGGGTAAGCACCATTCTCCCCTATCCCCACCCTCTTTGCCCCCTCTCTCCTTCTCCATGCTTGGGTCCCTCTGTACCTTAGTTTATCCTGTTGTGCTCCTCTCCCTTGGAGTTCCTTTCTCCCCTCCCTCCCACCCCCTCTTGATAATCCAGACTCTAAGAGTGGAAGGATCTCAAGTCAGCCCCTAGAACATCCACAGGCAGATTTACGTTGAAGCTGATGAGGCTGATGTGGTAAAGGTCCATTCTGAAGTGTGCCACTTCCTTTTGTAGTTCTCATTTTGTTTTCTTTTTCTTAAAAAGGCCTCCCCAAATGATACCATGTCAGGTCCCACAGAATCTGCCCCTGTCCCTGCCCATCCATCACTCCTTTTCATCAGGGGGTTGGGGGGGGAGGCACTGGGATTGACTAAGACTAGCTCTCAGTCCTTGCTGTCACACCTGCCTGGAGCCTGTCCCTTTCCCTGCCTCAGACCCTCCCAGGCCCAGTCCTGCCCCTGGCTCTTACGTGGTGATCTGGGACTCAAGGAAGATGAGGATGAAGACCAGCAGGGCCGGCAGGGCAGAGGCGAACATCATCCAGGTGGGGAAAGGCTCATACAAGCCCAATGGGTGGATGACCCAGCCCCGGGCTGAGGGGTTGGACACGGAGAGGCCTTCAGGCACGCTGAGTTTCTGTGGGAGGGGGATGCTGGTAAGAACACCAGGCAGGGGAATAGGGGAAAGGAGGAAAGGGGAGCCAGCATCCTGGGCACTTGGGAACTTATACTGAGTACTTGCTTTGTACCCAGTCACTGCTCTAAGGTCTTTATATACATCTTCTCATTCCCCACTTTATAGATGAGGAAACAGGATCAGAGAGGTTGTGTAGTTTGCCTTGCATCACACAGCTCTTTGGTGGCAGACCTGAGATACATACTCAGATCGGCCTGGCTGCAGAACAGATTCTTTCCTATTGTCCTGGGTTAAGGAGTAAAAAGGCAATCTGACCCCGACCTTTGCTTCAACCAGAGGGGTCCTATAGGGCTCTGGGACAAACCTGGGGCTCTCGGGGGAGGCTAGGATGAGTAGAGGGAGTTCTAGCTGGCTTCAGGTTTGGGAAAGTTGTTCTTGGGAGGGGGCATACTGGGAGAATAAGCTGACAATAGGAAGAGAGTATCACCTGGGTGTAAGTGTCCTCAATGAAGAAATCCACAATGACCATGATCAGAATGGAGATGGGGACCCCGAAGTCCCCAATGATCCGTCGCAGCTGAGGGAAGGTGGAAAAATCCAGTCAGTGCTCAGTTGTTTCCCCACCTCCTGCCTCCCTCTTGCCCACACTCCTGCCCCCTCTTCATGCAGGGTCCTTGCTCTTCCCAGGGTATCCACTGACATCTAACACCCTGTCCTGCACCTCAATGTACCGGCCTTCTTTTTCTTTCCCTGGCTCAGCCCCACTGCTGGCCCCACAGCTTCTCCACCCCATCTAAGAACTGTCCCTGGCTCCCCGCTGGGTTCCCAGCCTCAACAGGCTGAGAAAGGGAGATGGGCTTGCCTGAAGAGTGAAAGCCTAAAGAAGTGGGGGCCAGGGGGCCAGGAAGGCTTGGAATAGGGAATGGAAATCTAGGGTAAGAAGGAGAGTTAATGGCATTGAGGAACTTGGAGGAGTGCTTTGGACTGGGCCAGGGCAGCATAGGGAAGAGCGGGGCCGGGGGTGGGTACTGACCACACCAGGGAAGTAGGAGCTGTTCTTGAACTTGCGTAGCATCATGGCGAGAAAGAAGGTGCCAGCCATGAGTACAAGGGAGAGGAGAGCTGTGTTGGGCAGGGGAGCCTGAGGTTTGGGCACCATTGTCACATTGTGGTCATAATGCTTCTGCAGCGGGTGGTCCTGGAAGATCTGGAGCAGAAAACCAAGGCATCCTATTTTCCTCACCCATCTATCCATCATCCATCTATCAATCTGCCCATCATCTATCCATCTATCTGTCCCTCTGCCCATCATCTGTCTATCCATCCATCCATCCTGCATCCATCCATCCATCCACTTCTCTTCTTCCTCAACTGACAGGGTAACAGAGGGACAATGGGATTCTACAGCTTGGTTTTCAGGAGTGAAGACCAGTATCAGCTTGGGTGGGGCAGGTCATGGCGGCAATGAGTGTAGGTGTGCATGGGAGCACGCGGGGTCTCGGAGATATAAAGCTGGTGGGCAGGAAAGAAGTGCCAAGGAGGCTCCTAAAAAGGGCTTCAAAGACTTGGAAACAGAAAGCCCCACCAAACAACAGAATCAGAGGCGGATACGCAGTGTCCATCCTGTCTCCGTAGTCAATGCAGATGTACAGGTTACACAGTCGAAGGTGCGGGAGCTGAGGAGACAGGCTGCTCCAGGCCCCGTGGTTCTTGATGGTGAGCGCCAGCGGGGCTTGGGGAACAGCAGAGCATCTGGGACCCCTGCTGCCCCTCCGTTAACACAGTTTCCCCGGTCCAGGCTCACATACACACTGGCCTGTTAGTCACTCTAGGCAAGGTTACGAGCTGCATAGGCGCACACGGGGCGCCCCCTCAGGCGCAGGCGCTCTGCGGTCACCGCGGGACTACCGGCCCAGAGGCAGCCGGTGTCAACGTGACTGTGGTCACAACCAGGCACGATGAAGGCACAGCAACACACGGGCCACAAGGACACGTGGACAATGACACACATGGCCACATAGTTTGTGCACAGAGTCGCACACGCACACACACACGTGTGTCCACACTGCCACTTCCCCCACCTTGATCAGCTTGACGAAGGTCTCGTAGATGAAGATGAGGGAGATCAGGAAGGAGAAGATCTCTTGGGTGTAGCGGGAGATGAAGCGGACCAGGAAACTGCCCTCGAAGGCCACTATGAGCACCACGAACAGGACAAGCCAGAAGCCGATCCACACGCGGCCCACGATGTACTCCAGGTTGTAGTTCGTGCAGAACTGCAAAGGGGTCGGGAAGGACTGGGTCAGGCAGGTGGGCCCAGGCACCCCGTGGTCAGGCAGGCGGGGGCCAGGCGGCTACAGGGTCTGGGTGGGGCCAGAACAGGGCTACCGAGAAAAAGGCTTCTTCAAACACAAGCAGGGGTCCCGAGAAGCCAACCACAAGCAGGGGTTGAGCCCCAAGCAGGGAGAACAGAATGCCTTGCACGGCCGTGGAGATGAGCAGCTCCGATACCCCCATCAGGTTCTGGGTCTTTTCTCCTGTGGGTAGAAGTTACAGTGTGGTCAAGGTCAAGAGGTTGTTTCTAGGGTCCAGTAGAGCATTTCACAGGCAGGCTGTAGTAGGGGTCCAGATTGTCTGATTGGGTCAAAAGGCAGGGCCAACACAGAGGCCAAAGGGTCAGAGGTGAAGGTTAGAGGATCATGCAGAGGCACTGACCCAGGAGGCCACCGAAGGTGATGGCAGGTGACAAGGCAGCAAAGTAGATGAAGATGACAGCGGCCAGGACCTGGGGGCTGAACGCGTCTGTGATGTCACTCAGGTAGTAGGGGTAGCGGCGCCGGATGTCACGCACCAGGCCCCCAAAAAGCAGGCCTGTCCTCTGCAGAGGGTCATCTGGCCCACCAGGGGCCCCTGGAGCCCCGTACAAATCTGTAGTCAAGGACAGGGCCATGGTCACAGGGGGTCATGGCAGGAGGCGTTGGGGGGAGAGGAATCGTGGGGAGAATCTTCCGATGGGAACGAACAGGTGACCAAGGGGGCAGGGAGGCATGAGGACAGAGAGAGGGGACACCAGGGTATTGGATGGGAAGAGGGGAGGCAGGGGCTTGCAGGGTTGCACTGGGGACCCTGAGGGTCTGTGGGAGCCGCAGGGCAGGTACCTAGGCCCTTGTAGAAGCGGGGCTCGGGCTTGGCGGGGCTTTGAGAGTAGCGTCTCCGCAGCAGCTCCTTCTGCACTGGCACCAGACTGAGCAGTGCCTGCTCAGAGGGAGCCTCGCAGGGAGGCAGCACCAGGCTGCAGTCCAGGAAGCCCTCCAGGTTGCGGACCAGCTCCGCCTTGCTCTGGGCCATGTAGGCATCCACACGGAACACCTGGGGGCCGGAGAGAGGGTCAGGACTTCGGGGACTCGCTAGATGAAAGGACCCAAGAGTCCACATCCGTGGCCTCCAGGAACCAGAACCCTCTCTCCCAGCTCCTTCTTGTCCTGCCCCCCCCCGCTCCCCCTTCCTTTCCCACCACAAAAAGGTTTGGGGGAGCGTGGGGAAAGGAGAATCCACTAAAGCAAATGGGGTAGCTTAGCACAGACCAGCCGGAGCTACAGTGAGCCGAGGCCAGGCCACACCTAACTGGGTGGAACCAGGTCTGGTCGGGCAGGGCTGGGCCAGACCACCTGCCCCTGGCCAGACATGGTAGAAGCAGCAGAGGGGAGACCGACTAGCAAAACTCAAGTGACCCAGGCCCGTCCAGTGAGTGACTTCAGCTGCCCCCCAGTCTCGGGCTCCCCCAGCCCTTCCCAAGCCTGCCTTACCCTCTCGGACATGAGAGTGGCCGCAGCCCGACCAAGTTGGGTATAATCAGTGTTGGGGGCCTCAGGTCCCAGCAACACGAAGAGGAAGCGCACAGGCACCCGGAGCTGCACAGCCTCCAGCTCCGTGGCCACCTCCAGCCGCACGAAGCCCAGCACCGGCCGCTCCAGGAATTCTGCTCTGCCTGCCGGGGAGGGGGCGATGGGAGGTGGTCAGGTCAGGCTGAGGGGGGCGGCGGCTGGGTCCATACTTTGGAAGAGAGAGGCTGGGCAGGGATAGGAAGCATCGCCTCGGGGGTGTGGGGGCATCAGGGGTGCAGACCCTAGCTGCTTACCCACGAGCACCAGGGTGGCCTCTGAATCTGGGGGAATCTTCTCCAGAATTCCAGATGGCGAATGCCCTTCTGTGCTCTCCTGTCCCTGTGGTGTGGAGGGTGGTGAGGGGAGTCCTCTGGCCACATTGATCATCCAGCCCCCTCCTCCCCTAAACACTCTCATTTCTAACCCTGTTCAGGTGGGTCACTTCTTGGCTCTCCCCACAGCCTCACCTGTTGGCAGAAGAGCTGTGTCTCTAAAGAGGGGTGCTGCGGGAGCAGAGGCTCGGAGGGGTCCCCAGAACGCGTCAGAACTGCGGGCTTCACACCACCCAGGGCCTCCAGGTCTCCGGCATGACTGTGGGACACACAGGGGACATGGGCTGAGTAAGCTATTTGGGCTGGGTTGTTAGTAACACCTAGACCGAGATGGAGATCGGTGGTCGGAGGAATTAAGCAATGCTTCCCAGTGACCAGATGAGAGGGACCCTGGGGCAAAAGGACAGTCAACCTCCTTTGAGAGGATATTGTGGATGCAAGCGGCCGGTCTCCATCTGGAATGACCAGGTGGGGCCAGGATGGAGGGAGGGAGGGAGGGGCCGTGAGAGCCTGCCCTCCTGAGGACCAGTAGCCCCCACATCTGAACACAGAGATACGGCCGCCCCTCAAGAAGTCAGAGGTAGGAGCTGTCATGGAAGCAATGGGGGCCCTGGTCTGGTGGGGGAGAGACCCCCTAGGCCGTCAGGGAGAGCTCCAGGCCAGTGGGCCGGGGAGGTAGGCCCTTGGGCTGCAGAGTCTGCGTCCTGGTGGGCAGGGGCACCTGTGTTGGAGCAGCAGGACCCGGAGCAGCTGGTCTCGGGCCTCAGGCCGGATCTGCTCCTCGTAGATAAACCCATCCAGCAGCTGGTTGGCCACTCCTGCCAGGGAGGTCTCCGGCAGATCCAGGAGGACCGTACCTGCAAGGGATGGAGGAGTGAGCCGGACGGCCGGACGGTGGCCCTCCGGCCCGCCACCATGCCGCACGCACATGCAGGTCTCGGGTAGGGGCCCCGAGGGGCTCACCCTTGGCAAAGGCTTTCTGCAGCTCCAGGAGGCTCCAGAAAGTGAGGTAGGACAGGTGCGGGCGGCTCCAGACCCCGTCCTCCCTGAGGTTCTCCTCCAGCCGCACCCAGTGTGCCGCCTCCATCCACCGCAACTCCTGGTTCTTCTCATCCATCACCAGTTCCTGAAGCTCCACGTACGCCTGCGGCCCCACAAACCTGAATCAGTGCCCGGGCCCAGGACAGCACCCTGGGGAGACTGGCAGTCCAGGGCATGGTGGGCGCTCAGCAGGCTCTGAGAGGTGTTTGGAGGAGGCCCAGAGTCCTGAAGCACTCAGGGCAGACCCTGAGCTCAGAATGGATGGGTGGGAGCAACAGCCTGGATGCATTGAGTGAGATAAGAAGCGTGTGTGTGTGTGTGTGTGTGTGTGTGTGTGTGTGTGTGTGTGTGGTGGCGGGGTGGGGGTGGGGGGTATAGCCCTCCACTCCAGCCCTATTCCCCAATTCCCTGACCAAGCCCTTACCCCATTTCAGAGGTATTTGGAGAACCTCTGGACCAAAAGGGTGCTAGAGCAGACCCTTGGGAGGAAAACAAAAAAGGAAGCCTTTGGGGTCATCGGGTGGGTCTCCTGTCTCCGAGACTGTTGAGTGGGCTCAGCATGCCCTTGGGTTTCCTTGGGGCCAGCTGGTCACTCCCAGGGGCCTTGCTGAGGGCAGATGCAGTTTCCTAACCAGCTAGACAGTCTGATGTCCAGCAGGGGCCCAGCGGGCCTGGGCAGAGGGGCACGTATTCAATTCTGTGCTTCCCCAAGGAGCACCTGCCGGCCCAGCCTGGGAGCGCAGACCTTTGGCAGTCACTTTATCTCTGTCCAGGGAGCTCCCTGCTCAGTGGGAGAGGGACCTAAGTCTTCCCCCTGTGCCAGCAGGGGTGCTCTCCTCCCTTCTATTTCCCCGAAATGCTCATGCCTTCTCTGCCTGTGTGTGGGGCTCCCCACTGCTGAAGCTGTGCCCAACCCTCTTCACCTCCCTTCTCCTAGTAGAAGGGTCAGTGTCCCAGCGATCAGGTGATGCCGGGTGTCCTCACCTCGTGGGTGCCTGCGTGCGATGTGGCGTCTGGGTCTGTGGCCGTTTCGTAGTCTGTGGCTGTTGGCTCAGCGTGGTCAGCTGAAAACCGGAGGTGGGTTAGTGTTGCCCCCCCGATAATCCCGCCCTTAGGGTCCTCCTACACTCCCCACAGTGAGCCTCTGAGAGAGTCACGCCTTCCTTACTCCCTCCTGTGGCTGCTGGCTAGGACCCGGTGCCTGCCCCCAACCCCCCCCACTGCTGCTCAAGGGTCTCTGGCGCCCTGTGCCCATTCTTGGCCCAGCCTGGCTCTTTCACGCCCCATCCGAGCCTTGTGGAAGACCCCTGGGAGTCATCTTCAGTGGTGACAGGGAGGGTCACCTCCAAAGTGGAGAGTTCCGAACGGCAATTCCCAGGATTCTCCTAGGATCTCCTTCCTCTCTGCCGCTTTCTGGAACCAGCTTCCCTTCCTTCGTCCCCCGCTGCCTCAGCAATCCCACCAGCCCAGCACTTCTCCCTGTCTCCTAGTGGAGCTCTGGGAGCCTGGGTGGGATCTGCTTTATATTGTCCCCCACTCCACACCCCACTCCCGGCCCTCATTTCCCAGAGGGGCCTCTTATCTTCAATACCAATGACCAGCACTTAAGACCTATTGACAGTAAACAGGTCCCCATCTGGGGCTCCCCAACTGAGACCTTGGCAGGGCCAGGAAGGTTTCCTGTTGTCTCTCTGCCCTGGGGGTCCCTGTGGCCCCTGACTCCTCAGGACCTCTAGACACCCCCAAACAGAATGATGTTCCCAGAACAGGCCTGGTGCCTGGCCTAGAAGTTGGCATGGGATGGACACAGATGGCATGTGGGCTCATGCCCTTGTCCCCGAGGGGCCTGGCTGCCCTGTCCCAAACTGAGGGCCTGGCCATGGGTGACTAGTCCTGCCCCCCCACCCCCCAGTCCCCTCCTGTGATCATTTCAAACAAAACTCTGTTTATCCTTCAATCAGCCAGGATTGTGGGGAGAACTGGCCCTGGGACTGGTGGCAGAGGGGAGGGGGTGTGGAGAAGGGAGAGGACAAGTTCCTTTACTGTCTCTGTTCGGGGCTCAGCAGCTCATCCCAGCAAGAGAAAGAGTTGGGGCTCACCTACTGGCTCCTCCACTTGAACCACAGGGACATCTGGGTCTTCATACTCCTCCTGTTCTAGAACGTCCTCCAGTCCCTCTTCATGATTCTCCTATAGGAAGTGGCCGTCAGGGCTGGGCTGGGAAGGGCTTCTTAAGCCACCATGAAGGTAGGAGTCCGGGGAGTCCCAGAGGCCCCAGATTGGAGCCCGGCAGACACCACGAAAGACTTACCTGCCAGTCCCCCATGGCGTTGTCTTACTTGTCCGCTTATCCACAGCGATCCAAGCCCCCAGCATAACCCACACCGCGGGTCCCTGCAGGGGGGAGCACAGGCTGAGTGAGGCCCAGGCATCCTCCCCCAGAGGAGGCTACATTAGAGTCAAGGGGGACCCCAGGTGTTGAGAGGCAGTGGGGTCAGGGGCAGGAAGCTGGGGGGTAGGACCTAGATTTGTAGGTGTGAGGACAGGTGTCCAGGAGGAGCTGGGAGGACAGGTGTCCAGGAGGAGCTGGGAGAGCTGGGGCAGGAAGAGGTAGCTTGGCCGGCATCAGTCAAAGGCAGTTTGAGAGAATGGGCTGTCCTTCAAACTCAACTCCCTCTTCCATCCACCAGTTATCCTAGCTTCTTTTCCTGTCCATTCCCTAGACTTAGCCAACTCCAGGGGCATCATGACCTGTTCCTTCTTCAAGGAAATTCGTTCCCCTGGGAGTCTTCACAACGTACCCTCTTCTCCCAGAAACAGTTATTTTCTGCTAGGCATGGGGCTGTAGCATCCTTGGGAGCAGCTCACAGGTATTGAATGAAGTGTCACTGTTTCTCTCCTTAGCCCCCTCGTGAGCTCCCTTTCTCTTGCTCGCCCCCCATCTGTCTCATTGTCCTTACAAGCCCTTTCCTGCCCCAGGGCCTTTGCATACATAGTTGTTACATCCTCAGTGCCCCTCTGCCCCTCATCCCTTCTCATATCTCAGCTCTTCAGATTCCCTTCCCACCACCCTATCATTCACTAGCCCACTCTGTCATTTTCTGGTTTCTTGAGTCATTTGTGTATCTGTTGTTCGAGGATGCTGCTAGAAGGGATGCCACCTGAGTGCTAAGATCCGTGTCTCGGTCCCCACTGAATCCCTTACTCCTAGCAGAATGGGTGCCGCAGAGTAGGTGCTCAGTAAGTACATGCTGGGTGAAGGGAAGTGTGGCTGTCCCTTGCAGGCTTGGGTCTCTGGGACTGAGGAGTCAGCATGACTGGGACCCAGCCAAGAGGAGACCAGATCCTGTGTCTCAGGTTTGCTCAGTGTGCCTCTGGCATAGAGGAAGGTATGCTCACCCCCAGGAAGGTGAAGCCCAGCCTGAGGGGAGCACAGAAGTTCCCTGGGAACTGGATGTGAAGGGGTTCTCTTTCACTCTCACCCAGCAACAGGGATTGGGGTCGGGTGACGAACATGCTCGCCCTGTGCCCACATGGCACTGAGCAGTGGGAGCTGAGATGAACAAGACACTGTCCCTTCTCGCAAGAGACCCCCACCCGGACTGGGGAGGCAGCTGGGAAGGCAGGAGAGGCCAAGGGCTTCGGGAGACAATACGTGCCTCAGACCAATGAGAAATGAGCCGAAGGAGTTGGGTGCCAAGGACCATGTGGCAGGTTGAAAGGTAGGTCGGACTGCTGGGGTTGCGGGTTGGGTGTCTCTGAGGGGGGGACCCCGGGGCTGGGCAGAGAAGCTCTGGTGGGATCTGAAGGGCTGGCAGGTAGGGAAGTGCGGCCCAGGAGCGGGCAGAGGGAGGCGCGTGCCAGGCAGGGCTGGCTGCTGTGTGAGGGAACAGGGCGGGGAGGACATACAGAGAATGGTCCAGAGACATTTCTTTCCAAGGGCTGGGGGGTGGGTGTTGCCTTCCCAAGAGATAGAGAGAAGGAGAGGGCATGGCAGAGCCCCACCGAACTGACAAGGGCAGGGGTTCCTGTCTTGGTAGGGAAAGTGATGACCAGGGGACAGTCCCAAGGACCGAGGACAGGGCCGTCCTGCATGGGCCTTTGCCCATGAAGACTCTAGTCAGGCACCCTTCTCTCTCCCTCTTTTGCCTCCCTCTTTCCTCTTCTCCCACTTCTATTTTCTTTCTTCCTTCTCTGGCCTTGCCCTCTGCTCTGCCAGGGCCTCAAATCCTGAGCAGTCTCAAGCCTTAGGTGCTAAAGGGCTGGGCTGGGACTCTCCATTTCCTATCTGAGAGGTGGACTGGGCAGAGGGGCCTTCCAGCCGGAGAACGCTGTCTGGTTGAATAGCCTCTGATGGCCCCCAGCCTCTCTCTAGGCTTCAGTCATCCCGTCTGTACAATGGGAGGGCCTTCCTGCCAGGGTTCTGAGACCTCAGTGAGAGACAGAAGAAGGGAGACTGGAGGTGCCTGGAGCTCAGCTGGGGCCGTAAAGGGTGCCCCCGTGACCCAGATTGCAGCCCCCACCGGGCCCAGTGCCCCACCGCCCAGCTGCAGGCCGTGCTCTGGCACTGATAAAAGCTTGGAACAGGATGGCTGCCCCTCGTCTGGAAGCACATCAAACACCTGGCCATCCAGCCAGCCAGGGTAGGCCAGATAAGGGTGAGCAGGGCATCTGGAGCCCTGGAGGTGGAGCACAGCTGGCAGAGGCGTGGCAGGGGGGCTACCAGATGATGGGGAGGGCTCCCTGGTGGCAGAGCACTGCCTTTGAGTGATCACCGCCCCCACCACACAGAGCCATCCTGCCTTATCTCTTAGAACCCTCGAGGCACTGTGCGAAATGGGTAATGTCACTAGCCCCGTTTCACAGATGAGAAAGCTGAGGTTCAGAGAGGTTAACTTGGCAGGTAGGTATCAGAGGCAGGACGAAAGAGGCCAGCCTGCCTGACTCCCACTACCTCTCTCGCCATGGCGCTGATTTGCCTCCCAGAAGAGAAGACAGCTCTAAGATGGTCGAGTGCTGGTGGGTTGAAAGCATGGGCTCTCCAGTCGGCCTGCCTGGGTTCGGATCCCAGAGCTGTGACTTACTGTGTGACCGTGGGCAAGTGACTCAACCTCCCTGTGTCTCAGTTTTCTCATCTGCAAAGTGGGGTAACAGGAATAAACCCTACCTTATGGGGCTGTTGTAGCACTAAGTTGGTCTATGTAGAGGCCTTAGAACACTGACTGACACAGAAGGAGCTCCGGGTCATGTTGGTCATCATTATCACTGTGACTGGGGACCAAGGTCAGACTTGCTATCTTCCTCTCTCTCTGATCTTGTTGCTTTGTTCCCATGGAATTAGCCTAAGTGCTTTGAAATCCTTTTGTGATGGGAGACTCCTTCTTTCTCTTCAAACACCCCCTAGGCTGGGGACAGAGCCGGGTCTGCCCGGTTGAGTCCCTGAAAGTGTCCCAAATGGGAAAGAGGGTCAGTGAACAACTGTCCTCACAGAGAGGGTTTAGGATGCCCTGTGGGTCCCCATGCATGGCTGAGGGCAAGACCTGGGTCTGTGGGATCCAAGGGGCTCATAAATAGGAGCCTGACCGAGACCCATACCTGGAGGGGGATTCGACTTGCCCCCTCCAACACCAGCCACACAGACCTCTGCCGCCACGTGCTCGTGTCTTTCTCCCAACACTGCACCCCCGCGCTCCCCAGCTGGAGGTGCCAACAGGCCTGTGCCCTTAGGGGTAACAACACACATCCTACCGTTCTCATCCCACCCACCAGCACCCCCTTGGAGGTCGGGCGCCTTAGTCCCCCGGGCACGGATTCAGGCTGGGCACTGCAGAAACCCTCAAGACAGGTGCAGCAAGACCACCCCCCCCCAGCCCTGCTCACCTGCTCACGAGCCTCAGAGTCCCTCGGCGAGCTCCCGCAGCTACGGGTGTCCTCTACCACCAGCTGAGCTCACACCCGCTCTGACAGCACCCGAGTCCTGGCTCCCAAACCCCGGGGGCAGCTCCCAAACCCCTGACTCATGCCCCCGCCTCCTAATCTGCCCGCCCCACGGTCCCGAGGAGCCCCTTCCCACCCCCCCGCCCTGCTCCTTCTGGGTGCCCAGTAAACAGACTTATCTCTCACACACATCTGGACAGCTGTGCCTCTGGCCCACCCCACCCCAGTCGGCCAGCCCCCAAGGTCTCCTGCTGCCCTCCTGGCTCCCAGGGATTCTCCCGGGTCTTCCTTTGCCGACTAAGGTGTGATGGCTGGGTTCTCGAGCTCTCAGCCTCCCAGCAGGTCTGCTCCAGCTCCTGGGGGTTCCCATCCTGCCTCTGTCCGTCCTCACTCTGGCCATGCTCCTCTGCTCTGGCCCCGAGAGACACAGGTGCCTTCTCTCTTCTCTCTCGGTGTCTTCCCCGAACTCACTCTTGCTCTACACCTCATCCACGGGACCTACTCAATGCATACAGGCTCCGGGTGGCCCCGTCCCCTTCTTGCCCCAGACTAGGGCTCCCTAGCCACCTTCTCCCCAAGACCCTGGATGGCTCCAAAGAGCCGGTCCCAGGGTGCTAAGACGCTGCCATTCAGTCAACCTGAAACAATGTCAGGTCAACAAAAACAACCTTCCCCACACAGAGCTCAGAGCTCACAAAGCAGCAATGTTTGGGCACACTGGCTTCTCTGTCGGCAGCCCGGCCCAGGCCCCCAGGCCAGAGCAGCCCGCATTCTCGGCCCCCGCCGTGCCCCTGCCCACACCCCCCAGCAGGGCAGCTTCTGCTCCTGCGGGTGCCAGGCCAGTCACCTGTCCCTGGGCTCCGGTTGCTAGAGAAGCAGAGACTGAAAGATGAGTTCAGATGGGCAAGAATGAAGAAAGGCTTGAAAGCAGACAGAGGAGGGGGTTTATGGATACGGCTCCAGGCACCGAGAGGGAAAACCATCCCAGGCCAGCATCCAAACCCACTGGCTGTGGGACCCTGGGCAAGTGCCTGCACTCTCTGGGCTTTAGTGTCCTTACTATAAAGTGAGAGCCCCCGGTTCTGTGGCTTCCAGCTTGGGGAAGCCCCATTTCCAACTCAGACAGACAGGGTCAGATCGATGGCATATCCAGCAATTTCCCCACCATTTCCTGGGTCTCGACCACAAATTTACACTGTGCCGAGCCCGACAGAGAGGGAAAGAGGCCGCCGATTCCTCCTGTGTCCAGACACTGGGCTGAGGGCTTCACCTACTCCTTGCTGTGTCCACAGTTCCCACAAAAGGCAACTGGAGGGACAGAGGAGTCCAGTGGCTTCCCAGTGAAGAGAGGAACCGATGGCCTGACACAGGCTCTATGCAGACCCTGGG